ATATAGTTAGAGGACTAACTATTCTTTAATAGAATAGGAAGTTTTCCGTTATTTTTGACTGAGTAGATGAAATTGAAATGAACATGAAAGTTAATAGACCACTTAGAAATAAAATATAATTTTTAAATTAAAATGAAATCAAGGTGATATTTAATAGACTAAAAATTGAATTAAGCCGATTAAAAACCTATTCAAATCTATGGGTTGAAACCAAGTTGCACCCGTAGGTGCAAATAACCGCCCTAAGTTTATGAAATGCCTTAAAAACATGTCACATACTTGTGTATATATTTTAAAATATTAAATTTTTATATGAACATCTCTAAAATTATAAACATAAAATGTACATATCATAAAACCTTAAGCTTTTATTTGCATTAATATCAAATCATAAGTATCTAAATTACAATTATCAATTTTTATATAAGTTATGATTATTTTTTTTTTTTGAATAATCTTAAAAGTATATTTCATGTTAATTTAATGTATTTAAAAAAATTAATTAATGTTCTTAAATACTAATTCTATGATTTAAATCTTAAATTTAATTTAAAAAATGATACTTACTAATAGATCAACTCTAGATTTTAGCTGTACAATATAAGAGGCTGCAAGATGTTGTGATCAACCCTTGGTTTTGATTGTCCGATATAAGATATTGTGATGGTTAAATTTTTGTCTGACCAAGCCAACGTATCATGTTTTGAAATATAAGCAATGAGGTCAGTGTTAATTTGGTTTTTATAAGAGAAGTTTAGTTGAAGTGTGACGTAAGGCTGATGATAACTTTATAATTAAACACGTACAGTACTGAGAAAATTTTGCAGAAACTTATAATTTAAAAATTGTGAGGCTCTCGAGGTCTAATCAATTCACCCAAGGCTATTTATTCATAAGAAAAAAATATATTGTCAACTTGAGGCTAATACTATAATTTTTGGATCTTCAAGCTTAATAATGTAGAAGGATATGGTATATATTAATCTCAAAATTTACAAAAAAAAAAAAAAAGAATTAAAGTTTTAATTTTAAAAAATTACTTTTTAATGAATGTTTTTAAAAATTAATGATTAAATTTAATATTTTATTGATATCAATAATTCATGTTAATTTTTAAGTTATCTAACATCTATAATCATCCAATTAAGAAATTTATAATTTTAACATATATTTAACTGTGTTAAATTTTATATTGTTAGATATATTCAATTAATCTAAAATTTGATATGCATAATCTACATAAATAAAACACTATATCTAACTATCAATTTTTGAAAATATTTATTGAAGTATATTTGAAGTTGAGATTCTAATTTTTTTATAAAATCAAAATTTGTATCACTATTCTTTAATACATTATTGGCAATACATGGCACCAAAAATATTATACACATAGATTTGTTTCATAGTGTTTTTTGCAAACTTTTTTCATATAATATTTTATCTAAAAATATAAATTTATGATTATTAATTATTTTAATTATATTTTTATATACTTTTAATTTTAATTAATATTTTATTTTATTTTTTTTAGATAGTAAAAGATATGAAACCTTACAAGTTACAACAATAACCATGATATAACACAGTACAATACAGACAAACGAGCCGTAATGTATTTTTACATAACTAACAATTATCCAAAAAAATTATTGTTTTACCCAATGACTTCAACTGTAATTTTCTTTTGATAGAAGTTATATTGGCTCAAGTAGCATAATATACGAGTGTAAAGGATTAAGGAATAGAAGAAAGTTGTTTCAATTGTGCAATATATATAATATTTTTTATACAATTTATATAATATAATGTGATATCAAATGAATAAATATGTGTGTTTACTCAAAAAAATAAATTGCACAAAAAGAATATTTTGCTTTTGCATCGTAACCTCTAGGTTAAGTTTTCAACCTCTAGGTTAAGTTTTCAACATCTCTAAGCATCCTTCTTAGGATTCCTCTCAAGATTGGAGCCCCACTTTCTTGTTGTTCATCATTGTAAGGCTAGCAGGTTACTCAACTATTGGTTTTGGAATTGCCTTGGGTGCTCCATATAGGTTTGACTTGGAGGTTTTCGCAAATTAAGATCTCTTTGGTCACACAACTTATTTGTCGGCTTAAGGCTATAATGGGTAACACTAGTATAGATTTGGTTGAGGAAAAACTAGGCTCACTATTTGGTCAAACATGACCATTTGAGGAGGAGAGCGAGGTAACTTCTCTAGCTACTGCATAGAATTTGATGGCCATAGAATTTGTTAAGGGAACACATGATACTACCACACCAATCACAACTCAATCACATACAAGGGATATCAATTCTCAATAATTCTCACAATTATCCACTAGTCACATATTCTGCATTAATAAGGATTCTATACATTAGGTATGTTTCCATTTTACTAGCTAACATCAATGAATAATAAAATTATCTCTTCACTCTCAACCTCTCTTCTTCACTCTATTAGTGGTATGAGAGCAATCTCTTAAATAAGCACCACTAATGGCCAATGAATCCTCTACAATTATCACCTCTCTTCTTATCTCCACTAATACTACCATCCCTGTTAAACAAAAAACCACCGTCACCTTCAATGCTACTGCTCATTTTCCCTTCAAACTTACTCTTAGCAACTATCCTTATTGGCAGGCACAATTTCTTTCTATTCTTACAGTCTATAAATTAACTGGATTTCTTAATGGATCCAAACCTTGACCACCAGCACCAACTAGAGAGGTTCCTAACTCACCTTTTGAGCTTTGGATCTATTAAGATCAATCCATTCATCATGCTATTCTTACATTGGTCTTAGGGCTGATTGCTTCCTACATATCCACTATTGAAACCTCACAACAAGCCTGCAAAATCTTGGCTAGTCAAGCAACTAGATGTAAACAATGCTTTTCTGCATGGCTCAATTGAGGAAGACTTGTATATGGCTCAACTAAAAAGTTTTATTAATCAAACTCTTCCTCATCATGTTCGCAAATTGAGGAAAGCAATCTATGTCCTTAGGCAGGCCCTATGAGCATGGTACGTTAAATTGAAAAAATTCCTACTTGATTGTGGTTTGGTTAATTCTCGTTCCCTTTATTCACTCATAACAATGTTGGGACTATTATTTACGTGTTAGTTTATGTTGATGATATATTGATTACTGGAAATAGTGTTACTTTTATCTCAAATTTAATCCATAGATTTGGGCAAAAATTTTCATTGAAGGATTTTAGTGAACTCAATCAGTTTTTGGACATTAAGGTAATTAAAACTCCTGCTAGTTTATTTCTTTCCCAACATAGATATCTTAATGATCTCTTGTAGAAAAGCCAGATGGATGATTTCAAAACAGTTGCAACATACATGTTTTCTTTGAGTTTGGCTCCACAGAATGGTTCTTTGACCTTTTTAGATGCTATATATTACAAGAAATTAGTGGGCTCTTTGCAGTACTTATCCTTACATTTCATTTGATGTTAATAAATTATCTCAGTATACCATTGTCTAACTAAGATGCAATGCAAGTAGTCAAACGTATTTTATGATATTTGAAGAGTACTATGTTCCATGGCTTATTGATTTGATCCACTTTTAATCTTGCTTTTCATGCCTTTAGTGATTTTGATTGGGTAGGTGACAAGGACAAATATGTCTCCACTATAGGATACCTTATCTTTTTTGATGCTGCGCCTATCTCTTAAAAAGTCAACAAACAAAATGCCATTGCTTGAAACTCAACTGAGGCAAAGTATCAAGCCTTGGTGGCTACTTCTTTTGAGCTAGTCTTTATACTAAATCTGTCATATGAGCTTAGCATATGTTCTAGTTCTCCACCTGTCCTCTATTGTAATAATGTTGAAGCCACATACCTTAGTAATAATCCAGTCATGCATTATTGTATCAAGCACATAGCAATTGACCTTCATTTCATTCGTGATCTAGTTAACAAGAAAATCCTTTGTGTCTCTCATGTTGCCTTAACGAATCAACTTACAGATCAGCTAACCAAACCATTGTTTTCATCTAGATTTGCTTTGTTGCACCCTAAGATTGGTGTCGTTGATGGCTCCACCATCTTACAAGGCATGTTAAGGAAACAAAGGATACTACCACATCAATTACAGCTTAATCACATGCAAGGGATATCAATTTTTGATAATTCTCACAATACTCCACCAATCATATATTCTACATTAATAAGGATTCTTTATTTCCATTTTACTAGCTCTTTCCATAAGAGTTAATTACAGGACTTGTTTTTTTTAGTACTAACCTCCCATTATCCAAAAGTTACATTTGACCCTGACTAATCCAAAATCAAGTTGTGTTGGATCCCATAAGGGGAGAAGCTTTCCCAACACCTGTTTCTCTATTTAAAAGACTCAAACTCGAGACCTTATTTAAGGAAAACCAAGCTCCTTCCACTCGGACCAATAAGTCATTGGTTAAATCAAGACTTATATATATATATATATGT